CAGCAGTTTAATAATATACTTTCAATGATAAATTTCCTAAAAAAAAAAAAGGTGCATAATAAATTATTCATCAATATATTACAGAAGGCAAGAGAAACTCACAAAAGATTAGGCTGTAATTTTCTCCYATAGATATCCCACTTATTCATTTCCAGTAAGTTAGTTTTCCCTTTCTATCTTAGTCAAAACAATAACTTCATTGAAGGTTAGGTTTCAATGTAAGCATTCAGTGATCCATATGTATTTGATCCAAGTTTTCTTAAAAGCTGTTGTAAGTATCTTGCCAGTCTTTTGAAACCTGGGAACATGCAAGTAATTGCAAAAAAAATGAGAGGTTTTGATAGAATACAAAAATCTTACAGAACACAAGCATTTTGTAAAATCTTTTGCACTGATTGCATTATTAACTGGTTACATTATGTAAAGTAAATCTTCTTACACTTCATAAAYTTTTAAACCCAACTTATTGAATGTTTAAACCTGGAGTTTTATCTTTGAACATTGCTTTCTTTACTAATACTTTGTTCTGTATTCCTTTCAAATATTTACTGAGTAGTAAATGCCAGATATATCCAGAAAACACATATGAGGACATCAGTTTATGTCTTTCTCCATCCCCAATGGAGAAACATCACTGGTAGGAGGAACAGAGCAGTACCAGCAAACACATAACTGAGTTGAGAAGTGACAAGGAAGGTAGAGCGCCCCACATCTTCTTAGCTATTTCTTGACCACATGCTTCCAATAGCGTTTTGTAACAGCAGSAGAAATAGCTTCAAATATCTACAGTTTGCCAGAGCCTATCAAAACAGGACATGGATGGGCATTCAGTTATCAGTAACTTCTGGAGATAAAAGTATTCCATAAAGTGAAGGTGAGGTGCTCTTTTTTCAGTTAAAAATTGCTACAAAGACTAAGACTGCATTGCTTGGAATAAGAAAACCTCAAATCCTTGACTTGTTCCATCATCATTACTGTCCTAGGCTGCAAGAGTCATTGAAAGCTCAGATTTTGGTAAAAAAAAAAAAAAAAAGGCTTCTGCCCTTTTTTTTTGTTCTTTCTCAAARCTGGTGAGAATTGAACAAGACAGCATGGTAGTTAAGAAAAATAAAGTCCCCTCTTTAAAGGGAACAAATACTTGATGCTAATCAGTTCAGTCTTCTAAAAATATACCCTACCAATTATTGTTACCTCTTTTTCCTTGCCTTCCTTGTGCTATGACAATGTTTGCAACAGATATTCCGAGTGTATTCCTTCATCTTCATCCATTATGAAGATTTTGAAAGACCAGCCTTCGTATAAACCAAATTGTATTTGCAACCTGAAGTAAAAAGTATAATAAAGTGCAAGCTGAAGCACACTGAGTAGCATGACGCTGGGTACTTTTTTGCCTTCCAAACTGCCTTAACTGAGCTTCAACCTGTCTGAATCCCATGTTTAAAGAAAGAGCTGCATCAACCTAGAAAATCATTGTGGCTGTTTTCAAGGAGCAGCCATAAAAGAAATTGTAAATTTAATTACTAGGGAAGATTCAGAAATATTTTACTCCAATGACACAATATTTTTTTCCTTGTAGAAATTCAGTATCGGTAGTTGAAGGTAAAATAATCAATTGCCCAAGCTCTGGGCAATATATCACAACAGGAGAAAAAAGTTGACAGCCACAACCAACTGCAATCCTGTTTTCTACCTTCCTGCATTCTGACAGTGGAAGCTTTATTATAGAGACATATTTAATTAGGCCTCCCACTTAACAGAGGATGTTTTATTCTACTTATGGAAAGACATTTTGGTTGACCCAAAATGAGTTGTTATAGAACATGCTTTTTAAATAAAAAACAAAGCTCTCGTCTAAATTGTCCTTCATAGGTCAGTGGTTGCTAATGGGATACAGAATCGTTCCCTCCTCCAGGTCAACAGTTCACAACTGTCCCAGGTGGGTAGTGATTATGTGTCATTACAAACTGATTCTTGTTCAGTGTTCTGTCAAAAATGAGATTTTTGTGCTCAGTCCATTTCCTAATGGACAGGTGTTACAAGCAAATTGGCGCTAATTGGCAGCATTGTTGGCGGTCTCAGCAGAAAGGCAAAGGTGTGAAATGGACCAGAGGATAAAAGATGTGATTGCAGAGGTGATCCCTAAACAGACACATTTTATAGTGCTTTGAAGGGGGTGATGTGGAGAGTTACATCATGAGCAGCAGGTGTTTAGTAGACAGTGGGCTTGAAGGGCAGCCAGTAAAGCACGCTGGACTTTGTCCTCAACACATGCTTTGGAATAGGAACAGAAGAAATATCTAATTTTATATCTGTGGTATAGTCTCTAYATCTCCAATGATTTCAGTCACAGTGACTTCCTGAGATAAGTCTGTATCTTTGCACTTAGTAGCTGTGTTTGGATTTTGATTACATATAATTATATTGCTTGATCACAATATAAGTTTATAGCATCTACAGCTTGGTAAATGAAAGTTTCATGGCTTCACTCTATGTTGTGTAAAGACATCCATCCTATCTTTGTTTTTATCCTTTACCTCTTGATATCTCTGCTTCTTGTATTAAAAGATCCAGTAAACAATTGTTTCCTAATCACTTTCTCTGTATTTCTGGATGTCATGAGATTCTTTTGCAACTATTTTCATTTTGATGTTATTTTTATAGCTCTTCTTTGCTTAACGTACTTAGTAAATTTGGTTAGTCAAGTGTTCACCACCTTGTCTAGTTCATTCATCAGTATGCATAGGTTTGACCACAGTTGTCTTGGGCTGGTCTGATAACACCCCTCCACAGTGAGGGGCATTGGTCCAAGTTACTGTGTTTTGATTACTATATTTTGTTATATTTTAGCTAATTATTATTCTGTACTTATCTTGCCAGGCTATTACGTTCATATTATCTAGATCTGATCCATATCTAGAAAGTGGAGAGGATAGGAAAAATAGATGAGTATATATCACTTTCAACTTTGGAGTGCATGAAATTATGTCATATAATAATTTGTGCAGAAATCGAATATATATAACAGATTTTTCACTATGATTTTATGAAATTTATATGAACCTTCTGAGGCTAATTGCACAGAATAGAATTAGTCTATGAACTTTATTATTGAATATTCATAGTGCAAMAACACCAGAAGATATCAGTCAGATGAAAGCTGGATTTTCCTAGGGACTTTCAAATACTCTAAATGAAATGCTTTTCCCCAAACATTTTGATTCATGAGAGACATTTTAGTATTAGCAATTCAGGTGATTTCATTAGATTTTTCATTTTCTAGAAGGCATTCCTCTGTCACTTTCAGTGGTCCTTATGAAATCATTCTGGCTTATTTAAAGAAATAGATAGAAATATCAACCCTGCTGACTATAAARCTTTCAAAAAATAGTCATGTTAAAAGTTTATGAGCAAGAAAAAGAAATAGACATAAATCTCAGAATGTTCTTTATTATGAGTAAGTTTCATGGCTTTTGAATCCTAGGGCTTAACAGAACTGAGGCTGTGTCATCCTGTAGTGTTTTTGCTTTTGTAAGTACTATTCAGTACGTATTTGGATCCTTAAAAAAAAAGGGAGAAATTTTCAACTACATCCTGTGCTAACAAAATCTCTCTACAGCCTGTGATAACAGGTAGAAAACACAGATGCCTCGTGTTGATCTTCTTAGCTGCATCTGTGAATCTTTCTTAGCTGCTTCTCCATAATATTGCTATTTTTATAAGCAGTGCTCAGATGTCAAGATAGTGAGATAAGAGTACCAATAAAACCTTTTTGAGTTATCATTTTTGTGAGCTCTATAGCTCCTAGGTGTTCCTTTTGTTCCCATATAGTAATCATTTTGCAGTACATAATTGTAATCATATATCCTGTGTGGTAGTCTGAACAATGAATTCCAGCTGAATTACAGTAGGCACTCAGCTGTTTCTAATTGAATTGATTTCTGCCTGTAAACACAATTTTCAAATCAATTGCAATCAAAACCAGTAGCCATCATTTCTTTTTAAATTTGGACATATGTACTTCTACTGTACTGTTCCATCTGTGCTTCCACTGGTGTAAAACTCTGTTTTTACAAGTGGTGTAAACCTCTGGACATTATGTCTTAAATAATGAACTATACACATGCTACTGTGTGTGTGTATGTGTGTGTGTGTATATATATATATATATATATTAGTGTTACTGATTCTGTGAAAATCTAAAAAATACTGACCATATTTTCTTCTTTGGTGCCTTCATGAACTATTTAAATAATTAGCTGTGATACACAGGAGGATATATATCTAYAGRTATATATAGATATATATAAAAGGAAGCTGATCTTTGTATAATCTCTAATTTAGATTTGGTTGGGGCCTTTTATCATTATGTCCAATCTTATCAATATGTCCAGTCTTATTTACTTAACTTAGTTTTCAATGACATTTACACAMATTTAATTTAATATTTTCTTTTATTTATTCTCATTACTTGTATGACCTACTGAGTCCATGCATRTATTTTCATTCTTCTGAGATTTTGATATCTTTTACTGCTTAAATAGTGTCAACAGTCTTTACTAGAATAAATATTTGGGGGAAAACTTCAAAGATGCTTATATTTTTAATCTATCAGTCAATATATCAATAACATGTATAGTTATTGATAACACAAAACTCAGAATTTGCAATCTGTTATTAAATAACACTATGCACAAAAGTCACCATGTGTAAATATGAAATCAATATTCTGCATATCTGCTATGGTCTTTACATATATTATAGAAGTTAAAATTTCTGAAGTACTGAACTTGTATCACAAGCATAGTATCAAGATGGCCAGTGTCCATTTCTTAAACAGAAGTTTTTGATTTTTTTTCTACTAGATCCTGAGTTTCTTAAATAATTGTATTGCTTTATATTATTCCCTTCCAAGATGAGCACCGTCAGAAATGYATATTCATACTTTATGCACTATATTGTCTGGTAGACTGTGCTTACTAATTCTCATTTATTTTGTACAGGCTCCATCATCACCTTCTTCACCTATAGCTAATGAACCAAAATATGAGAAGCGCTGGCTAGATGCCCTATCAGTTCCTCTATCAATGGCTCGAATCTCGAGGTACAAAACTGGAACAGATAAATTAAGGTTTGTAATCTAAAAAGGAGGCACTGGGTTAGCTAGTGGGTCTTAATATTTTGCTGTGGAGTGCTGGCTATACAAGAATGCTTTGTGTTATGAAAGTCTTCAGCTCTTATTGTAAAAAYATATATATATATGCTGGTCATCTTCTCTTAAGGTTGATGTCCTACCTGGTGAATAACAATGACAAAGTAAAAGAAGTGTGGTAAATATAGCTCCATAAAATATGTTTCCATAATCCATTTTCTCCTTGGAGTTTAGTTGCCATTAGCAAATAGTTCAGAAGTTAACCTTGGCTTTWCTTGAATTAATTTGTAAGATATTACATTTCACTCCATATCTCTGTAATATAGTATTCCTATATTCCATATTCCCAAGTTCCCATATTGTCACTTAACACCAGCGATTAACACCAGTATTAAAAGAAATAATGAGATACTGCACAATTCTTGTGACTATGTTACATACCACTGTCATATAGAAACTCATTGACTGTAATGTAACAGAGTTTTATTGAGTATAGATGACAGAATGTTGTATGTTTGATGATAGAATCTTTTTGCATCTCTGCGATGTAAGCAATGGTTTATAAAGCAGCTGCAGAATAGGATAGACAAGATGATTTTTGTGGACTAACAAAAAGAAAGATGTGTAAAAATGTATACTGTCATCTGAAGCAGGTGGCGGCTCTTCTTCCAGACTTTGCATTAAAGCATCAGAGATCAAATAATTATAATATTGACATAAAAGTTTTAGTTGTTTTCCCCAGTCTTTGTCTTTATTTGGTTCTTTACTAAAGCATCGCCCTCTCCGCCACTTTCTTTCTCCTTCCATCAGCTGGCAAGTTCATATAGTCACTCTCCAAAATCTATAAAAGACCTCCATTCATTCCAAAATAAGTATATCTCAACAAAGCTTTTATATTCTCCTGTGGGTTAAGTGAATCAGTCTCTGTATGCATATTTAGACATCAACTCTTATGATCAGTATTATTGCACTTAAAGGATAAGCGTGAAGAAGTTAACATGTTTAAATAATTGAGTTCATTTATCAAGCTGCTAGTTAGAAACAGATTCAGTCATATTCTGGGCACTCTGTGCAGTACCTGGAACAATTCAAATGGATTCTGATTCAGAAAATGTAAGCAATGTGAGATTGTCTTGGAAAAAACTAACACCTTTTGCTATACTTTTGTGTGTGTGTGTGTGTGTGTGTGTGTGTGTGTGTAAGGAATGAGAAACGCAGCACTTTCAGCCTTGGCCTTTGGTAGATACAGGCTTTTGTGACACATGTGGCTCCAATACATACTTTCTGTACACATTTCACTTCTACTATTCTTCTGCTTTTTTTTTCAGTCACTACAGGACATTGGAGTCATTCCATAGAGCCAGTCGTTATCACATGATATTTCAGTTCCAGTGATATGCAGCCTGCTGCTTTTCAGTTTTGCCAATMCTGGAGGAATATGCACAGTAGCATTAAAGGAATAACACTGCAGGATTAATTGATAATGAGGCCATTCCTCTGTTCTTACTAGTGTTGTATTCTTGTATGAGGGATACCAGACTGCTCTTACATCCTGTATATTAAAGTCTATATCTATACCTATAAAGTCTATATCGTGCTATCTACACACTCATGCATGTAACATACATTGCTTTCTTCAGTCCTTTCTTAACCAATGGAAAACTGGCTTTTTCATCTCTGAAATTCTTGTAGATAGCCACAGCATTCTTTTTTTATTAAAATTATTCACTTAATTTCTGTGGTTTATTTTAAAACCTAGTTTTGTATGGTACATATATTATCTTTAAGTCTAATGTGATCTAAGAAGCTGCTGTCAGCCACTTTGGATCATCTCGTTCACTTATGTTTTCTTATCTATCATATTTTTCATGTTTCTTTTTCTCATGTTGTAAATAATCTCTGACTTTAGACAAACTTATGAACAAAAAGGAGATTGCCTACCATAAGGTCAAACAGAGTCTGATATATTACTGAAGAGCCATCTTTTTGTTGCCTGTAATTTAGAAGAATGCTGAGTTTGTCAATGTATTGGATTAGAATTATTCTATAAACTAGAGTTGTCTGTTAGACTATAATATAATTTTAATGTACTGTTAGATCAAGTCTAATCTAATCGAGTTAGGTTATATCATTCCTTTTATGGTTAAACTAAATAGCTTGGTACTTCATCGCAGCCTTCTGGTAACTCTGGCAAGAAAACACATACTTCTAGCTCTTGTGTCATCAATTGGCCAGGAAAATTTGTAGCTGTTTGACTTTTATTCTTTTCTTCAATACAAGGACTTATATTGGCTTTTCATTTCACTTGCTTTTCATTTGATTTTTCTTATGAAGTCTTAAGTCTGTTGACTTAGTGCCAAGGAGTACTTTTTTTTTTCTTTTTTTTTCTTATATATATTTTACATTTTGTAATCACCATAGCTATTAACAGACACCAGAGAGAATGGGAAGGATTTTTTTCCGTCCTTATACTTGAAGATTATAAATATTGCAAAAGGCAAGACGATGAAGTGTGTTTGTCTCAATACGATACAAAAAGAGGAGAACATTCATAGATCCTAAAGGGAAGATCAGAAATGTAGCAGATGTCTCTTCTCAATGCAAGTATTAGGGTTGGTCACTAATTGTGGTTAGAAGTTTGATAGTGAAATACTAAGATCAGTAAGCCTTTCTCACCCAAAGTATGCAGTTCACAAGTTTGTAGTTATATAAAAGAGAGACAAAAGAACCTTCAGTTTTCTTAGAGAAAACCTTATTTACAAAAAAGAAGTGTATAAAAATAATAATGTATATATTTTTAGTCTTTATAACAGATAATGGCAATACTGTGTAATGATCTTTATTTTCTGTATTGTCCAGAGTTTTAAGAACTCTGAACATTATAATATATATAACCTCTGAAACACTATGGGTTTAGAGACAGAAAATAGAAAAGTACTTCTTTGAAAGCTGATGGAAATTATATTCAAGAAATGAGTGGACTGAAAGTAGCTTAGGCACAGCAGCTATGACTCCATTTAGCTRTGATCCCAATTATAAAAACAGCTTAATTAGGTTTGGGTGTTATTTTCTCTTTCTAAATATTCCAGTCATTGTAATTATTGCAATATATTGCGTTTTTATTTGTTTTGTTTTTTGTAATTGGGTACTGGGTTTTTAAGAGAGTTAATCTTTCTTAAGTCATCTGTTTCCCATTTTAATACTTCAACGGGTTAATAAAATACCTTTAATTAAGTAAATAAATAGAAGAGTAAGAAATGAAACAAAAAAATTTGAGATAATGGAAGTCTAGAATTGAACAAAGAATAARTAAATGAAAAACACCACAGCCAAACTGGAATCCAGCTCAAGAGAAGGGGGYGATCAGGCAGGAAACCGTGGCAGACAGTAACATTGGTAAAAAGAAAAGATGATAGGAATTTGTAATGAAAAAGAAAGTATTGATTTGGATAGATACAGATAATGGAGTGCCTTAATGACTAATCTGACTGCTCTTGATGCAGAACATAGAACTACACGAATCAAACTCACTGCTGACAAAGTTAGCGTCATTAGTACAGAAAAGGAGAGGAACATCTTATAAAGATGGAACAAATGGAAATGGGATGCAAACTAATAATACAAAGTGCAGGAGATGGCATTAGTGAATGTAACTATTGTAGCAGAGCAATTTGATCCTTAAGGACTTAAAATTTGTCACAATGCTGCTCAAGCAGCAAAATATTTTGGGAATCAGTTGTCAGAAATCAAGTAAATGCAGGCTACAGATTAAGGTCAGTTCAGCAGAATATAAACACAGAGATATCTGAGAAGTGTCTAGACATTCTGCAAATCTCTCCACAGACGGAGAGCAACATACTCTTAACTAAAATGAGATAGGGGAAAAAAAAAACTCCAAAATATAGGCAGGAAATAAAATCTAGACAGGAAATGTGCCACACAGAATTAGAGATCAGCACTGAGTACAGATGATAATCTGTAATCAGGTAAGAAAAATCTTAGTACTTGTTCCTCATACAACAAGTGAAGTAGAATGTCTAAGCCACTCTCCATCATCTTTGAAAGGTCCCAGAGAACAGGAAGGTGTCCTTCAAAAAGGGCAAGGAGGAGGAGAACCCAGGAAAGTACAGGTCAGTCATCCTGAGTAAGTGATAGAGATGAACATCTATTTTTCCTAACAAACATGTCTGAATTTYATATATCATATAAATTATACTTTTAAATCCTGTTGAGAGATGGAAATCTTCAAGAAGTAATCCTTTGCATAAAATTTTAAAAATGTACTTACTATTCTCTGTATTCATGATAGTAATTAATACAATTAAGTTATCATGGACTGTTCTGTTGCCAAACRGTTTACAAAACATGAGCGGAAACTGAACCTGAATGAGCATTACAATGCCAGGACAGTCCAATAATTATTATGTGAATATTGATTTTATTACCTGTCTTTTCTGTCAGGAAATAACTAGAGACATCTACATATTATATATGAGACTGAAGCTGTTGACTTGTCAAGTCATCTGTACAGGCGTCATTAAGATACAACCAACCTTCCTACAAGAAATTAAGTAGGATGTCTTATTATTATTTAAAATTATTTAAATTTTATTTAAATGGAATAGTCTAAAATTATTCAAATTTTATTATTTAAAATTATTTTAAATTTTCACTTTTTCTGCATATATTATTACAGACGTGATGGCATACAGCTGGAAGTTGCTTCTACTAGCAAATCAGTTAAGAAAATTTCTGTAGAACTAATTTCTGTGTTATTTCAGTTATCTTATTCTACTAATCCAAGAGGCAAAATTACAGCATGGGAAGCAAAATCTTAAGCTAAAACAAAAATGAAAWGTAATCCAGATTTATACTTAATACTTTGATGTATTTTCATTTCCATAGTTTCTACTAATAACCCAGTTGTATTAGCACCTTGATCATTATTTGAAAATATGAGGCTATATAATTTACAGTAC